AAGGATCCCTGTCCCACTACACTGTGGTTTTTCATATACACAATGACCCCCTTAACCTCCATTTGTATATATTTCTGATGACCAGGTAGCTCAGTCGGTTAGAGCCATGGTATAACAATCTGAAGTCCAGGGTTCGAATCCTGGTTAAGTCCCGCTCTATACTCAGAACACTTGTTATTATATAATATTTTGTTTATTCTATTTTTATTATTTGTCATCAAAGTACTGAAAGGGGTCGTTTTTTCAGAAAAGATTTATCAAATCCATAATTATGCCGAAGAAAAAAAAATATTTCAGTGCTTTTGTGACAGATTTTAGCAGTGGTACGGGGATCTTTAGGAAATGGAACTGTGAAAATTCGATACAGTGACTATTATCATAACATGCATCGTCCATTTTCACATTGAATAGTATGAGCTAGTGCGAGTGGTTATTGATAGACTGTAAAGATGATTGCATAGACATTTCCGTCCAAGTCTTCATTTAGTTTTGTATCTGATGCAAGTCTGATGCACAATCACTTAACCCATACACATCTCCTTCGGCAATTAGCGACATTTTGGGGTCACGTTTACTTTAACTTTTGTCATATGACTGGTAGAATGGAATATTAATATATATTTTTTACTAATGTGTAGTATACAACGTTATTATCAGTTAACCCTTTATTACTTTATATAGCTTTGTTAAAACATTACAAAACAAGTCTTGCATCTGAACAATTTTAATGTTTTACCTTAACATTGAAAATACACACTGAGATAATTTCATTACAGCAATTATTTTCTGTACTTGAACATCGTTGTATCCATTGGTAGGAAGGATGCACTATTACCAAAGCTATCAGAACGTTTTTGAGTACCTATACATATATACTAGTATATAAGTGTCAATTGCATTGGTCGTAGCAACGTTTAAAACAGCTCCCGTTTGTAGTTCCTGTCACACAACACTGTAAAATATCACATTTAACAGTTATTACATGTAAATAACGTTTAGTCATAAAACACTGTACAATATCGTTTTTTACAGGTAGGGACAGGTATATAACGTTCTAGTCTTACAACGGTTTACAATAGCATATTTAACAGGCAGGGACATGTAAATTACGTTCTAGTCACACGACACTGTATAGTGTCATATTTAACAGACAGGTACATGTACATAACGTTCTAGTCACACGACACTGTATAATGTCATATTTAACGGGCAGGGACATGTAAATTACGTTCTAGTCACACGACACTGTACAGTGTCATATTTAACAGTTGGTAACATATAAATAACGTTCTAGTCACACGACACTGTATAATGTCATATTTAACGGGCAGGGACATGTAAATTACGTTCTAGTCACACGACACTGTATAATGTCATATTAAACAGACAGGTACATGTACATAACGTTCTAGTCACACGACACTGTATAGTGTCATATTTAACAGTTAGTAACATGTAAATAACATTCTAGTCACACGACACTGTACAGTGTCATATTTAACAGTTGGTAACATATAAATAACGTTCTAGTCACACGACGCTGTTTAATGTCATATTTAACAGACAGGGACATGTAAATAACGTTCTAGTCACACAACACTGTATAGTGTCATATTTAACAGTTAGTAACATGTAAATAACGTTCTAGTCACACGACGCTGTACACTATCATATTTAACAGTACGTTACATGTACATAATGTTCCAGTTATACAACACTTTACAATATCATACTTAACAGGCAGGGACAGGTACACAACGATTTTATTGTACAACATCATATTTAAAATGAGTTACTTATATATCATGTTCTAGTCATACATCACTGTACACTGCTATTTGACGGACAGTCAGATACCATTATAGTGGTAATAAACTGTTCACTACTATTTGACGGACAGTCAGATACCAT